TGGCATTGGTCTTGTTTTCAGGGTTGTATCCTCCTACCCCCAAATTCAACGGATTATTAAAAAAAGAGGTATCCTTGGAATCAAGAAGATATTCTGCCTCTGTGCTTCTTCCCCATCTCTGTCCTGAGTAAAAGAGAAATAAGAAGTATTCCACTAGACTTGACCATGCAATCCCTTCACAATCTAGCCTGTTTTTTTTTTGGTACTGGGGATTGAATCCCAAGAGTGCTCTACCACTGAGCTATATTCCCAGCCCTTTTTATTTTGAGGTAGGGCCTCACCAAATTATAGAAGCTGGCCTTGAATTTGTGATCTTCTTGCCTCAGGCTCCTAAATTACTAGGATTACAGGCCTGCACCCCTGCAGCCAGCCTGAAATCTTCGTTATTTTAAATAATAAGCTGACTCAGCCATGCTCAGAGGCTCACAGTGATCCTACCTTTATCTCCTGACTCCCAGAGAATCACAGAGATTTTCTTTCACCCTGACACATGGGGGCATCTCAAGAAGTTATTTTTTTCCCCTCAATTCCATCTTCTGTTTTTACAGAACCATTATGGATATAAGTAGTCTCTCGTTTCTAAAGAGATTCTCCTTCAAAAATGGGGAATGTAATCAGTTCCTCCAAAAATAGGAGTTAAAAAGCCAGGGCTGAGTGGGATGAGGCTGAGGCAGCTGTATTTAGCTCTAGGGTAGTGCACCCTGTGAAGACACAGCAAAAGGATACCCAGGAAGTTTCTTTGGAAAGGGAGAGGAGTTGTCAGCGACTAGTCTTACCTCAGGGAATCAGTTTTCTATCTGATTGGGATCCACCTAATCAAGATTAGGGACTTTATTGGACCTACAAAGGGAGAGAGCGAGGGTCTGTCAACCTCAGCCTGCAGGGGAAAAAGAATGTGTTGGAAAACTGAAAGCTTAGGTCTGTTTTGACAGAAAAAGTAAAACTTTTGCCCTTAGTTACTTTCAATAGATCTCCCCTATTCCTGCCTCCATTTTGGTTTTTCCATGAAATTATAAGAACTATATTTTTGTTTTTTTGAAATAGGATCTCTATGTTTCCCAGGCTGGCCTTGAACTCCTGGGCTAAAGTGATCTTGCCACAGCCTCTCAAGTATCTGGGACTACAGTGTGTGCCACCCTGTTGGATTTAGGAACTACATATGTATATTTGCACTGGGGGGGCGTGTACTGGGTATTGAACCCAGAGGCATTTAACCACTAAGCCACATTCCCAGCCCTTTTTTTTTTTT